ACAGAGACACAGCCGGTCTGGGCGACGCGGTCCCTCTGCTCCCCACATCACCCCACTCCCCAGAGGGCTCGAGACCGGAGGCCGCTCATCGTGGAAACAGCCCCGCTGCCCGTGGAGGGGCATCGAGACGGCGGGGTGCACGCCCCCGAGTCCGACCCGGGCGCAGACACGGACGGACTCTTGCCGTCTTGCGTCGGCACGGACGGAATCAGAGGCGAGGCGCCCTGCCACACGTCGGGAAAGACACATCCTGGGAGCTGCACTCGGGTGGGAGCTTCCCAGAAAGAAACTAAAGGGCGGGACAAAGTCAAGCCGAAACCACCCCAAGAATCTGACTGTAGACCTGCGCCCACCCGAAGGGGAAGGAAGGTTGGGGCGTGGGGGGGTGACCATGGGCACGGGGACAAGGGGGGGTCACCGTGGGCACGGGGCAAGGGGGGTCACCGTGGGCACGGGGCCAAGGGGGGCACCTGGGCACGGGGGAAAGGGGGGGTCACCGTGGGCACGGGGGCAAGGGGGGGTCACCGTGGGCACAGAGGCAAGGGGGTTCACCGTGGGCACGGGGGCAAGGGGGGGTCACCGTGGGCACGGGGGCAAGGGGGTTCACCGTGGGCACGGGGGCAAGGGGGGATCACCGTGGGCACGGGGGAAAGGGGGGGTCACCGTGGGCACAGAGGCAAGGGGGTTCACCGTGGGCACGGGGGCAAGGGGGGGTCACCGTGGCAGGTGCAGAGCCACCCAGGGAACTGTGCCTCTGAGCAGTTTCCTCACCCAAGGTTACACCAACGTAAAGGTAAAACATAGCCAACAAAGGTAAACTGGGGGTGTCTGGAGAGCCTGGTCCACTGTCCCCCCCCTTGCCCCATCCCTGTGTCCTGCAGGGCGAGTGAAGCAGTCTACCCCAAAATACTTAGCACCAAGCAGGGCTGAGATTCCTGCATTTCACACCAATTCCCAAGGGCTGCGAGGCAGCTGTCTGGGGACTGGGCTGGGGGCCCAGCCTGCTCCTCTCACCACACCCCGTGTCCAGCTGGGGTCACGACGGCCGCTCTCGGCCCGAGGACCAGCCCTTCCTCCCCTCATGCCGCCCCCCAGCGGCTCACTCCCCAGAATCCCCTGCGCCGAGACCCCGCCTCTCACGCCCGCCTGCGGCCCGGCACGCTCTAGGTCGCCCCTAAGCACCTGCGGGCGGCGCAGCACACGGGATGGCCGCGAGCTGCCCGTGCGAGGCGTCGCCCGCACGTGTCGCATACGTGTCTGCAACCAAAACACTGGTTCTCACGGGCGGCACTTGGACTCCGGAAAGCGAGAAACAAAAGCTGTGAAATTCACACAAGGGCTTGTTGTTCCTCCTCAGAGCCACGCGGCTAGCACAGAGGTCCCCACCCGGCTTGGGGCAGGGCCACCAGGGGAGGACAAGCGTTGCTTCTTGGACATGTGGGTTTTAAGCCTTTTTAAACTACTGAAGCGGCCATCTCTCGTGGCACAGCCACAGGTTAGGACACAGCCACTTCAGTGCGGTTCGATCCCTGTACGGGAGCTGACCCCCAGGGCGCAGCAGACCTCTCCTGACCCACCTGCTGCTCCCCTCAGCAGTGTGCTTCATCGATCTGCCTGTTCTGCTCCCCACTCTG